TATTTTTTTTGTTAAACAAAATTTTATGTCAAGAAAGTATATTACAGGTCTGTAATTGAAACAATCTTCTCACAAATTAACAATTCCGTCGAATATTTATACTTCATTACGTCCGGTGAAATATTAATTGATACTGTTTCAAATCATTAATCGGACCACGTCGGCAGGTGTCTGACAAAGCGGCCAATATAAATTTACCTGTAAATGTGCCGGTGGGTACCAGGGATTTCCCGCTTTGATAAATGCCGAAACGTGTTAACGAATAAGTTAGTTGTCGCAATATTAAAGCCGAGAAACCGAAGCGAAGATACCTTTTTTAAGTTTTAAAATAAAACAAAAAATAAATTAAAATGAGCTTAAATTGCTAAAAATTATAAAAATTGAAGGTTTAAAAAATTTTATATCTTGTTCACTTAGAATTTTAATGGTAATTTGTACGGCGGACAGTTTGCCTTCCTGGGTTTGCAGCGTTACTTTAATGAAATCTAATGGGTGGGTACAATAAGCAGCGCCCGCTGGCCAAACCACCAAAATACCTACGTCCTTCACGTTTCGTTTTATCTGCAACAAGGGCCATTTTTGTTTAACTGAAATGAGAAAGAAACACATGTATGTGAATTAGACACGTTAATTCATGCTTTCTATACGCCATGCGATGCGAGCGTGAGTGTAGTTGTCAATGACGAAATTTTAGCCACGAATGTTAACATAAATATTCTTGGCCTTGAAAGTTACAGCACACCAGCATGTAGAGATTTTCATTTAACTGCCATGGACGTGAACATGAAAAAGAACTATATAAAAATTGTTTTTTAACTTACTAAGAGAACTTAACTTACTTTGAGAAAAAAAACTTGTTTAGGAACTTTTATTCACTTCGCTTAATATTATGGAATGGATCTTATTTTTTTTGACAATATTCGTTTTAAACTTTGTCGGTTATTTAATCTTTTTAATTCTAGTTCTATTTAGAGAATTCATTATTACAAAAAAAAAAAAACGTTGTTTGAAAAATTTAGTATTGCTTTCGCGACCTTAGCAGAAGAGAATAAAGTAGCGTTGCAAATTTCGATTGGTAGGTTCCTTGTTCTTCTTATTTCTTGGTGTAGGTTTTTTGTTCTTGTTCATTCTCGTTCTTGTTCATTTTTGGTGTAGGATCCTTTAAAATTATAATCAATTATAAAAAGGGGCTTCAGTGTGAGTCATGATTACGTACTCATCAACAAGATGAGTTATGAAATTGCAGTAGAGGCCGAAGTGGAGTTTACACCATTCGGCTTTGATGGGAAGGTCTTCAAAGAGCTCCGCACAGGTCCGTTCAGCAACAAGGATACGGGATCGCGTGGTACATCCATGATCAGCTGTGTTGTCAAGCCTGTATGAAGAATCTCACCCGAGCCAATGAAGATGCCTGCCAAGAGGTGAGCGATCAAGTTGTCACCAAGAATCCCAAAGACAATTTGATCCTCACTTCCAAATACCTGAAAACTGCCTTCTCAAGACCAGAGGTCAACGAGGCGTTCCACCATGCGTACGACGTATTCTATATGGTAATGAACCAACACATTGTAGAACGGGACATAGGCAAGCGCGTGCAGGCAACTGTGGTGGCAGGGTATAAAATATAGCTGAGCAAAAACCATAAATAGCGTGAGATATAAAACGATTTTATGCATAAAGTCACGCCCGTTCTCGCGGTTAGTTAGTAATAATGACATGTGTGTTATTTATAATTGTAAATGTCTGCAGAGTGTCCAACAAACTCGGATAACAGCAGAAACTATAAATCAGATCAAATCGGAATGCACATATTTTGCGATTACATCGATTGACATCATGTGTACGTTTTCACTTTCACATGATTTCGTTTCAACAGCAGGCAATAATTTTTACGATAAATTATACGCTTGTGTTGCTATAATTGCTATTTCGCATATAATAATTTCAATTTCTTACTTTTTCTTTTTAATAAAATCAATGAACTTCTATTTATAACACTCATCATTACATTACTAACAGACTAATAGACAGCGCTTCTTTTCCATAACATTTTTTCTGTTTGGGAATTTAGAAAGGGAAGCCAGAGGCTTGGAGTTTAACGATAAGTAAGTTATGGTTAACTAAATCAAACGCTCTGCTGAACTCAGTGTATATTACATCTGTGCGCCACCCACTAGAAAAAGCCATGAAAACATGACAAGCAAATTGGTGACCGAAAGCCATTCTGGCATGGAGAAATATACGAATTAATGGCAAAGGCCAAATGCTGAATCACAATTCGCTCGAACAGCTTGGGCAAGGCACTCAACTTGTCTAAGCCTCTGTAATTCTCAACAAGTCGTCTACTTCCATTTTAGTGAATGGGAATAAGGAAACTACTCTTCCAACACAACGGGAAAACACCTAAATTCAAAGACCGGTCAAATCCCACATAACTCCGCAGCACAAGATTTAAGTACACACGATGGAATTCCATCAGGTCCAGGCGCACAACTACATTTTAGAGAGCAAATTAGAAATTGAAACCAAGTTAGTTATAGGATGTGAGTAGTTTGCGGATAAATCGGAATTAGCAGTCGAAAAGTTTCGTCGGAAATACTCAGCAAACAGATTTGAGATTTCAAAATCATCCAAGGAATCAGACCCATTAAAAGAAACATGCGAGGGATGTGTGGAAATTTTTCTTTTTGAGTTAACAAATTTAAAAAAGAATTTAGGATTAGCAAATAAGGAAGGTTTAACAAACTGAAGGTATTTGCAATTGTATTGGCGGTTGAGGGAATTAAATCTATGCCTTGCCACGGCGTAAGCGAAATAGTCAAGAGAAGAGCCGCTTTTCGAATATTTTTTGAAAAGCGTGTTTTTTCTGTTCTTGTAATATATAATTGACCTATTAAACCACAGGGGGCGAGCTCGCCACTGCTTGATCGGAACAGATGCAGCAATAGCTAGATTTAATGTATTGTAGACGAGTGACAATAAGCTTTCAATACTTCCGGTTGAGAAATCAAGCCCTATATGTGAAAGACGATGTTTTAGCAATACAATATTGATTTTATGAAAATCATAACATTTAGTTAAAAAAGTTTGATTTGACAGATTAAGGCAGTTCAACGAATCATCATTCATATGATGAAAGGAAATACACATTGATGAATGATAAGGATCCTTAGGTAAACTAATAGGTGGACAACGATGTACACTAATCTCAGGGAAATTGGCACAGCAGAGATCAAGCAGTCTACCATTACAATTAGGGATACGGTTATATTGAACCAAATTATGATCAAACAATTCATTAAAGAACACAACAGCCCTATCAGATGTTGAAGTAGGAATCAAACAGCCAGAATTATCAATGTTACACCAAGTGACTTCAGGCAAATTAAAGTCTCTCAACGCAACTACCAAATTGGTAGGTTTCGACTGCTTGGCCACTTCACAAATGAGGGCGGCCTGTTTTTTATATATGGAGATTTCAGGATGTGGGGGAATATAGGAGCAGGTTACGTCATATATATAAATAATTGTTTATTAGGCACTTTCTCTCGAATAGCGATAAATTGAACGTTAGGAGTAGGAGGAAATCCAATTGATTTGGACGGAAAAGACGAAGATATGGCAATTAATACACCACCACCAATGCGATCCAATCGATCATTTTTGAAAACCTGGAAAGAATTGCGGAAAACTTCAGGCGAATGTAGATCATGTTTTAACCAAGTTTCAGTGAAGGCTGATGGGACTTTCGCCGCCAGATAACATTTTATGTTATCTATAGATGTATCGGGTGCCAGTCTTGACATAAACATTGCTTTTCTGGGAGGTGCTGCCAAATGGGGAGCAAATGTCACTACTACTGGGAGCAGTAGCAGCACGACTGGGGAGTTTTGAGTTGGGGAGAATATAGATGGGGTTACCAAAGGAGCAGCGTGTGCGTCATGCCCAGTTTGGTAGCCAGCGTTCACACTCGAACAGCCGGTGGGAGAGCATGAATTATATTGCTCTTTATTAGTTTTAAGCGATGACGCCTGAGTTGAGTGAGTGACGCCACTAGGAGGCGATACTCTTGCCACTTCAGCATAGCTTAAACCAGAAAGACTTACCAGCTTATTTGTAACTTTTTTGTTACAGACCGCCTCAGCCATTTTCTTTTTTTTTTCCTTCTTATTTATTTTATTGTACTTATACTAAGTTTTATTATTAATTTAATATAAGTTTTGCTTTTAGTGCCAATTGAACTCGACTGTTATTTGTTGGGTTGAGTTTCATGTATAAGCAGAATTAAAATAAATAAATAAAAAAACACAATGCCAAATATGATGCTATAGCGGCTGCCGAGATCCCTTTCTAAATTAAACTACGTCTACCTATAGGAAGAATCTACCTCACTACTTTAAATAATTGCCTTATTAGATTATAACACTCACTTCTTCACAACGATTGCTCTATTTATGAGGTTATATGTGACTTATTACACCTTACATTATTAGGCATTAAACTGCAATCAGATCATTATTTCCTAAGGTATCAGAAAATGATGATGATAAGGAACTGAATGAAATAGTAACTGAATATCGCCACAGAATATATATGAGCATGATGAATAACTCAAAATAAACCCCATCCCCCATCCCACCACGCCCCTCACAAAAAAAAAAAAAATTTCAACTACAAGTGAGCCTTTATACGGCGAAAAACGCTGCCTTTTCGATTTGATATAACAATAATTTCTGATTTATTTTTGCACTACAATTGTAGATTTTTACTGTTATTTCTCTTTTTTGGAATTATAAAAATTTCTTTGATTCCACAAAGCTAGCCGTTTTTTTATTTCAATTTAAAACGAAAATTCATGTGTTGAGAATAGAGAGTGGATAGAAATGCCTTCAATAAATGGCAACGCTTTGCCATGAAGAAAGAGAAGCCAAACTTATTCACGTATTCATAATTTTTTCTTAAACTTATAGAGCTGGCCGTAAAAATTCTGTTTCTGTTGAAAGTATAAAAATTGTATCTGTTTTAAAAAATAAAAATTGAATTGCTGTTAAAGCATAAATCAGACAAAGAGCTCCTATGTTTACATTAGAGCACACAGAGGAAATCATCTGTTGTTGATTTGCCGAATTCTAGAAGAAGAAGAAAAAGTTAAATTGTATATAAAATTACGTAAATAGCGCAGGCAAGTGAATATTAAATTGTTTTTAGTTCAAATTTAATATAAATTTTATAAAATAAATGACCAACATATTCCTCGGCGCGTTTTTATGCTTCTCAAGATTTAATGGATTTCGTGTCAAATAATTAATTGCTTTTGGATTTTGGATATTATTTGTTAAAAGATAAAGTCTACCTAATGATGAAGTCAGACTTTCAAGGAAGGAGTATTTATTGTTTTGCTCCATGACTACATTTTGAATAAAAGGTTTAGTTGATACTTATTTCAATAAAAATTCTCCGGAAAAAATTCGTGAATTTTCTATATATTCCATACACTGCGTTAGACAACAGAGACGGATCTGTATCTTTTGCCATATCTTTAGAAGTGGTCAACATTACATATAAAACCTTCGCAGTTCGTTTTAAACTAATTAACAATTACTGAATTGTTCAATTTTAACAGGCCATGGCGTTGCTAAAGGTTGGCTATTATGATAAACCCGAAGGCGAAGACTTTTTTGGCAAAATGTTGGCCACTAATACATACGCTGCGATTGCTGGATTAACGTGGTCTACGTATGATGTTTTGATGTACTCACATACCAAAGGCTATTTACCAACGTTGGGTCGGTTCGCCTACAATACCGGGCCCATGATTGGCATGGCTTCTGCTTTCACACTTACGGTATACGGCTTAACCAACCTAAGGGAAAAAGATGATAGGTGGAGTATATGATTTATTGAAAATTGTGGCTTTCATTGCAATTATAAATAAATACATTGTAGACTTAACTATTTTCTTGGTGGTGTGGCTGCTGGTGCTGTCTATGGTGCCTGGAGGCGTAATCATGTGTCTGGGCTTACTATGGGTCTTTTCTTTGGTGAGTTGTGATTGATTTTTTTTACATAAAAGAGTTTCCTCACATCAATGTCAATTCTTTCGAAGGCCTTGCCGCTATGGTTAAAAAATTATCCAAAATTGAAGGGTGGGAATTCTTCCCTGAGGTACCGTATCGTCAATATATGGGTGCTAAAGATAACGATTATACGTTAATGAAAGGTCCTCCAAAAAACTGGACTACTGGTGAATAACTATTATAGTTAAATAACAAATTTTGTAAATTTTCCTACATGTGAAAATAAACATGAGCGTGAAAATATAAGGTTAAGAGTACTTTAATAAACAACAGAAATTATTTTTTCTTTATATATTTTTTTTTACTCTTTCTAACCCTATAAGTTAAAAAATAGATAACTGAGATAAGATATCTTCACGTTTAATGTGAAAGTTAGAAGAAGAGCATTGATCTCCGATTATCTTTTGTATTGCTTTTTTAGCAGTTTAGTGCGATTTTAATCATAAGATCTAAAACATGAGAATACGTAAAAATGTGTGGCCACGTCGTCATGTCGATTGGTTGTGCTTCCTATTGATCGGGATTTCTATGCCTTTTGTATTTATTTTTGAAATGATCGTTGTGTTGCCCTTCATCCATCCGCCTGGAAGTTTCTTACACACATTTACTTTCGCTATGGCTGTTTTTCTAATTTTCAACATTACTGGAAATTTTGCAGCATGCATAATGGTGGATACAAGCGTAGGTAAGTTTTCCATAAACTCGGCTCAAGCGCATTACGACTTTTTCCATTTCTAATGATATTAATTTAGATGGATTACTAAAAGTTCCCGAAAAACCTTTTTCAGCGGGTTGGCACAAATGTGTAAAATGCCTAAAAATAGTTCCACCACGTAGCTGGCATTGCAAAATATGCAATTGTTGCATATTGAAACGCGATCATCACTGTCCATTCACAGGTTGCTGTGTGGGTTATCGAAATCATCGTTATTTCATTATGTTTATTCTATTTCTCTTCATTGGATCAACCTATGCTTTCATTTATAATAGCGTCTTTTTATGGACTTTAAAATCTGGTAACTGGTTATCTTTTTTGAAAATCCTTTGTCTACCTTTAATGTTTGTCACCGGTTCTTTGTGGTCTAACATGAGCTTAATATTTTATAATCTTAACATTCTTGCTGTAGTTTACAGCATCGTTCTTCTTATTTATCATTTGCCAGTGATATTGAAAGGTGGAGTTAGCTATGAAAGGAGGAAGGGGGCTTATCCTTATGGAAACGACAGGTGGCAAGCCAACTTACAAGAGGTTTTTGGTAAACGCATGCACTTAGCATGGCTTTCGCCTCTTTTGCGAAGTGAATTAATCGACAGCACTGATATTTGGAAGATTGACTAAAGCCAATAAAGAAAAGATTTTTTTCACTTCAACTTTATAGTTCATTTAAGAATTTTATGAATAGCAGGAGCGAACTAGTTATCTAAAAGGAATTTGTATATCTTCAAATACAACCTATACATATACAAAAAGAAATGTAAAATCAAAAGTATATACAAATAATTTTTATACCCACCATTGTAAGAGGTTTTTTCCAAAATATATGTAACAGCTTCAGAGACACTATAAAGTACATATATTCTTGATAAGCGTGAAATTCTGAGTTGACTTAGCCATATCCGTCCGTTTGTGTGTGGTTTGTGTTGTTGGCACTCTCCTGGTCGTATAAATAGACTGAGTAAAGATTAAGAGTAAAGTCATTTTTCTATTTAAAAATTTTTTGCACCTGATGCTACAAATGCTCTTCACGACTTTCGCATAGTATTTTCAGATCAGTGTCTTCTATGAACTATAAGTCGCAGTTTCCTGTCTACAGCTAGCAATAATAGGAGCTCCTGATTGCGTTTACTTATCGTCGTATTCGGGGTCTTGTATTAAAGTTGCAATAGGCACGATAAAACTCTACGACCGATTTTGATGATGATGATCTTTATTGAAAATGTTACTGAATTTTTTGTAACTGTGAGACGACTTTATCAAAAAAAAACAGGTTTAAAAATTTTAACCTTGAGAAGTTCTTTTGCAGTTAGAAGAAAGATTCTCTTTGCTACAGGAAGTTCTTGCGAAGTGGAACATGAGATTGACATTGGTGTCGGGGGGTGAAGACCAGTACAGCGTCTTAGAACTGAGTTCATATTTACGGTAGGTACGTAGACCTTGAGGTAGACCTCCATAAACTTCAACTGAATTTTATCCCAACACAAGAAGAGTTCGCGACGAAAGGAAATATAGAATCCACACTCTACATTGTGACGGTATATTAAAATCAGTTAGAATTCGACCTGGTTTCCCCAGATCGACACAATCATACGCTTTATTGATGTCTAAACTAAGCATAACTATTAACACTAGTGTTGCTTTCGCTTGGTTTTTTTAGGAACGCGACATAAAATTAATTTCAGCAGTGAGATCAAGCAAGGACCATGTACCTAACGATGTGCTTTAGGTCTCATCCAAAACGGGAAACTGACTAACCTCGCAATACCTCGATGAAAAAGATGAAAATAGTTGTTTGGATTTAGCACAGCAATAATGCAAAATAATACAAAAGATTCAATTAGTCGTTCGAGTTGTTGCGATTTTTTCTTTGATTTTTGCTTTGCAGCGGTAGGAGCAGCTTTGGTAGTGGTCACTAATCTACGTCGAACACAATTTGAAAATACCATTTTCATAGCAAGCGAAGGGACATACAATACACATCGGCTCTAAAAGTGATGAAAACAACAACATTTAGAAGTTGTCATAAAAATGGAAATCCGTTACTTGGAAAGAGGCCTGATGATTAGGCAGCTTTTCAGAAAGTGCTCAGTCTCTATTGATGGAACGCCACTAGCAGTGTATCATAAAATGCACTATTAGTAAGCTTCGGACATGGCGATTGCTCCATTATATTAATGTAAACCAATCAAAGAGCGGCTTCAGTCGTTTATTTTCTACTATTTATGCGCTTTAATTCTTTTAGAGACTGGTTTGGATTCAGTGTCTGGTTTGATCTAGGTTGCTTTTTTATCTGTAATTTGACAAATTGGAAGAAAAGTTATTGTGTCCAAAGAAAAAGCAAGTATTTCTGTTTTGCTTTCGTATTCAACTGGCACGCATTCTTTCTATACATTCTACAGCTGTTTTCCTTCCGAATTCAACTGGCACGCATTATTTCTCTAGCTTTTATTGTGTTTCCTCGTATAGATGAAGATAGCGTCTTCAAACAGAGCAGACAGTTGGAAGGTTGATATTGAAAATGGGACAAATCGGACCGAGCAGAAGCGCGCTGTGGAGTGTAAACTGAACGCAACCCGATTTTTATTAACTAAAATTTTTGGATTTTTGGTCGTTAATTGGAAATTATTAAAGTTGGACACTGAAATTTTCCACCTTTACTTTACGAAACAGTCCGAAAATGGAACCAATCGGCCATGCCTACACCAAGAGACGAGTAGCTAAATTTAATTTTTTTCAATTTTGTGCGCTTTTATGCTCATTTATCACAAGGCAAACATGACAGAATGTATCAAATAAAAGAAGTGGAAGAGTAGAATGTGAAAAATATAGTGATGGGTATGCGAGATTAAGCCCTCGTCGAATATAACTTTCTTACTTGTTATATTTAAGCTTAAAATATATCGATCTTTTATTACAGATGTCTATTAACCGTACTAAGCCTGTCTGTCCGTATGTCCATCTATATATTCGTTCAAGCTACAAGCCATAATTTTGAAGATATTGCCATGACATTTTATACGATGACATACTTTGACCCAAGGACGAACGCTATAGAGTATATTTCGGATCGGTCCATTTTTTCGACCACTTTACAACACCCTATTTTGAAAAGTCCGAAAAAGTGACTAATTGCAAAAACATTGTAAGATAGAACATCATATATAAAAGATAGTATATTTCGCTAGCAAGATTTGCGCGGCACAATTATTAAGTTCAGCTAAAGCCTAAACAAATGAGAACATTGTCTGAAATTTGTACAACATGTATGCATAATCCGGCACAAAACCTACATTGCGCAATTAAATGTGCTGCCATATAATTAGACTGAAATTGTTGCGAGCAGCAAAATAAATAATTCTAAAAAAAATTTTACGACTAAGCCAAATATAATGGAATTTTGAATTATGTGAGAGTATGGAGTTTTGAATTATGTGAGAGTCAAAAATTTTGAATTATGAAATTCAACTGGCATGCGCTTCTCTCTTTACATTTTACTAGCGTTTTTCAACTTGCATTTTTTTTTTTTTTTTAGCTCCTGCATAAAGAATGTACAGCAAGGCCAATTTTATTTGAAGTTTGAGTTTATTTCTCAGCAAATTCAAAAAATTTCAAATATTCTTGGAATTAAAAATTTTGTTTTTTTTAAATAAAATTAAAAAATTATTATTATATTCTGTACGCAAAAAAAGTAAAAACATATTTCTTACTACTGACTTTTCTAAAATCTTTCTTTGTAAGCATTTTACGCAAGTTTTAGTTATTAAGCATATTTTAATTTATATAAAAACTAAACGAAAAGACTAAGTTAATTTTCTAATCCTAATCCCTATTCAATAAAGATTTTAAGAGGAGTTTGAAAAACAACAATACACACCGGTATTTCAATAAATCAGCAAACGTTAAATGTCAAAGATTATATGTGTGCTTTGATAGGATAATAGGACCCCATCAAGCAATTCATCAAAATCACATGTGGAATAGAAAAAGTAATTCAAGGCAATTGTTGTTCTGGTGGTTACCTTATAGTATATAATATATAATAATATAAATATATTATTTGTGGACTAAGGTAGAAGATGGTATCATGTGTACATCCTAATATAATATTCGCTTTTATAAGATACATTCCGTATCACTGGATCGCGGATATTTTGGTCAAGAGAAATACACTTCAAAGTTCAATTACATTTATTTAAATGTAGGATTTCTTACAAATTATTTTTGGCAATACTTTGGACTGCTTAGCTCAAATATTCTTTTTTCTACTTTTTTGTGTTTCACAAATATCCCATTTATATATATTTTTGCCATCATATTACTAGTACCTATTTTTATGACTTGATTTTTAATGCTGCATGAGCTGCATGAGGTGCCTGCGAATGCTCATTTAGATTTTCTTTCTTTAGGGTATTTATTTTTAGGGAAAATTACTTAACTGAAATTAACTGTATTTGGGATTTTCGTAACAATATAAATTCAAGTAAAATTTTTAAAGGGTCTTTTTGCCTTTAATCTAACTTAACAAACTGAAATTGCACTCCGCAGGAGCAGAATGAAAAAAAAAAATTCTTGCATCTTTTAATTTTTAATATTTTTTTTTTTTTTTTTATTATAAAAACATTTTCAATAAAGTTAAAAAAGGAAAGAAAAGCCACAATATGCTTTACTTATATGCTTTACTCACTAATCCTGTTGCTACTTTTTTTGTCAAATTGCCATGGTTACCGCTTGTTATTTAACGATCTTTCGTTGAATTAGCGGGATGTATTTACTTGGCATCAACATTTATAGCAACAATGCTATTTATTTCGGTAACGTTTGAGGGCAAACACAAAACAGGCTTGATCACTGTGCTTCCATGCAAGCTTATTGTTATTGTTATCGATAATGAAATTAAAACAAAAGAGTAAGCACTTTCAGAGCAACAAATGAAAAGTTATATACTGAAGTCGCATTGAATTTGAGTTATTTTACAAATGAGATGAATGCTGAATTTTACGCAGCGGGAGGGTTCAGGCTCAGAACCCTACTCGCTGATATGAAATAAAGAAAATTAATCTGGATAAACGTACAATATTTTTAATTATTTAGAACAAAATTTCAGATTTTAGCAAAACATAATTTTATGTTCGAGTAATATTTTATAATTTCTTACTAAACGATAATAAATTTGTAACTTAGCTATAAACACAATAATTTGAACCTTCCGCCTCTGCAAATCCCTATCTCAACATTATAGCAATGGCAATTCGTCTAAAAAAAACGACGTATATTCGATTAGGAATAAATCCGTTTCCGTCAAGCTAGGTTCCAAGCTTTCCGATTCACTTAGTACTCCTTTCATGCAGTGAGCATTTTTATAATATAATATAATATATCACATTGTCAATAATTCCAAATTCTGTACGCATCTGCAGCAGCGACCGACACAGCGTTTGTAACATAAGCTGATATCTGAATATCAATTGAATGCAAAAAACATGGCAATTGTATCTTGGACGCTTGGTTGCTGCTATACCGATGCATTACATATTACATGGAATAAACGTTCTTAAAAGATAAACAAACTTTTGGGTGTTAGTGCTGTAACTTGATAAAACTCGCATATGCTCGGCGAAAGTTCTAATGAGCAGTAAAAAGTAAGTTTGTTAAATTTTTGCGTGAAAATAATTATATATATTTTATTTTACTTTTATTTTAGCTTCTTAATAGCCATATTTTCTATGGGCTCAAAATATTATCGTTCGCCCAACTTGAAAGAAGGCTGCGAAAATTTCGGTATAAGTTATTATAGGGCGCAACACAGATCAATGAAAAGAACGGCTTTCCGCAGAACTTCTAATGACGAGGAATACAATTCTTCAGAAGGAGAAAACTAGGAAAGAGTAAGTAGGAAAAGCAAACGCTAGGAAGTAAGAATATTATGGTCGGAAGTGAGCGGATTTTTTATATATCCACCATGTTTATCCTAAAAGAGACTTGAAAGAGAAATGAAAAAGATAAATTTCCATACTCCATAATATTGGATAAGCCCAGTTGATTTTTTCCATTTTGTAGGACGGGGAATTTTATTCTGCGCCTATTATAGTTTATGAATAATTAGCAAAACCTCCGAAAAGGAAGTGTGGCCAACTTATTTTGAAATGTAGACATGCTCCCTGATCGGTTTGGTAGCCGTGCAAACCTGCAGAAACTTCCAAAGCCTTTCCCAAAATTTAAAGCCGATAACGTCAGCACGTTACATTACATAGGTAGATAAATGACGGGCATGCTTGAATTGATTTAGAACTTGATGGTGACCAAGGATATAGTATATACTTCGAGAGGGCTAAGAATCTTTCTGCCTTCCTTCGTTGCAAAAATTTGGGCAAAAAAACTTCCTTCCGAACTTCGTTGGTAAACACAAAAATTAAAAAATCTGTGTGAAATACAAAAAAAAATAAATATATTTTAGTTTTAATTATTAGCATTGGTTTTGTAAGACGACAGTTGCTCGGTTTTAGAATGCTGTGATGGTAACTAAATCCTGCTGTAGTTACAACCTGACTTTGTATTCCTGATATCGTATTAGAAATCGTAGTAGGTCCAACCAAAAATTGTATTTTATTTTTCTTTGGTTAAGTGACATTTTCTAAATGTCAAAATCTGTGTTTTAAATAGACCTTTCTAAGATTTGTAATTAAAATTGCATTGTTGTTTTTCCATCAAGAGATGGTTATGGCATCCAGAAATGCAGTCTTTTGACACATTTGAGCCAAATTTAATTCTGGATATCAATTCAAAGCGAATGGTTTTCTTCTTTTGTCTGTTAGGATCATCATGTTGCCTTATAACCAGTCAAAATTATTGCTATTATTAACCGTGTTTGTAAATGTATATTGTTTCTAGCAAAACACCCAGAATCCGAAATAATATCGTGCGTGATTTTTAAGACAAATATCGTGAAAAAACAAGTCCAACCGAAAGCTTGAAATGCTCAGTAGACTCATTTGCAATCATACATATGACGAAGTGTATTCAAAGATGTTCACAGGCCTCACAAGTGAAGAGTCTCACACAAAAAAGTTAGCTGAGAATCTTTCTTTTACGTGCAAAAAAATTCAATAACACTAAACATATATTTGAGATTTTCAATTTCTACAGCAGACTACACAAAACTTTTCGTGCTCGCAACGGAGCCATTACAAAACAGTTAACTGCCTTTATTAAAACGGCTGGCTTCTCTTTCTAAATCAACAAAATTATAAACACTTTTTGTCTCGTTTCGTTGCAATTTTATCGAGCTTATCAATCCACAGATCAATTATTCTTATACAGCCATAGCTTTGAATTGATCTTCTGAAGTAATGAACACTACATCAATACAATCGCCACAGCAAAATGCAAAGCTAACATCTTTACTACTGCTACCAACTATAAACCCAAAAGAAAGACTTATATCAAAAACTTATCACGTTAATGGGTATATTGGTCTGTTTGCTAACCGGCCTAATCCATTTCCCCTCCAAATGCAAAAATAAAGAATTATTATTATTATTAAAATTTTAAAACAGCTAACTGCAGAGTTTGGCAACTCTACACCCGCGATGTAGCCGTCTTTGACTTTCCGCAAGACATAATTTAACTTCTTTTTGAATCACTCCGCTATTTAGCTTTATTGTGGGCTAAAGTTATAAATATCTTTAGGAATAAAGTGAGTGATTTAAAGTAAAGGAAGCATATTAGTCTTTACGCGTAATTCATTTGGTTTTTTGCAATCAAAAATTGGAGCTCTTGTAAAAGTCTTTTTTTTATGCTAGCTACTATGCTTGCAAATGTTCATCAAATGTTCTTCACCACCATACTTTTCCACAATATATTCCTTCGTCTGAAAAAAAATAAAATATATTATTGCACGGTAAAACAAAGTTATACAGTGGTACAAATTTTTAAGATAAAAAGAATAAAGTCATATAGCACGGTCTCATTTTATCAAATTCATCAATGCAAACAATACCACCATCAGCTAGAACCATAGCACCACCTTCCATAACAAAGTTTCGCTAAAATTTAATGAAGAGACGAAACAAATACAATAAATCATCCTGTCATAAGTCCTTACATTTGAGAGCCAATTATATGATATTAATATTTCGAAAAGCAAATTTACCGTTGATGGATCTCTCGTCACTGACGCCGTTAAACCTGCAGCACTAGAACCTTTGCCTGAAGTGTAAATTCCAATAGGAGCTACTTTCTCAACAAATTTTAGTAATTGTGATTTAGCCGTGCCGGGATCGCCCAGTAACAAAATATTAATGTCCCCTCGTCTGCATAAACCATCGGGCAAACGTTTACGCGATCCGCCAAATAGCATGCATGCAAGTAATGGCCCTTTTTATATCATGCGAACCGAACATACTTGGAGCTAATGACTTTGCTAAACGATCATATAAATTTGGAGAAGCGGCCATACAACGAAATGTCTCCTCTTCTTCACTAGTTATATTACTGTAACGGGATATAGCTCCCGATCCTTCAGTATCCGCATATGTTTCATCTAAACTTAACAAAACGTTAACGGCCGAATATTCATAATGACGCTTTAAAGCCAGCAATCGAGGTAAATCTTTATAACTGTCCGGACCAGCTACAACGTCTACGGATTTCTCCTTTTCCAAGACATATTGTTTCAATCGTTTTGCCATACAACCCAGTATAGAAATTTGCAAAGGCCCTCGTTTTGTTGATCGTTTATGCTTCAAGGCCTTTAGATGTTGTAATCGATTCCATATTTTTGCGTCTATGGACTTGCTTGTTTGCAGTTTGTTTTGCTTTCGCTTTCTTGTTACATCGTAAAGGAGAAGTTTGGTTGAATTTGTCGACAATTTTAGCGTTGTGAATCTTTTTGTATTTTGTTTTTTTTTTTTTTTTTAATAATCCACTTCTGTCGTATTTCACTGGATATGGATTGTTTATTTACACCATGTGGTGCGAAAACAGGTCCAGAATCTGAACGATTCATTGCGTGTTGGCTCTGTCATCGTTTTTGCCATGCAATGTTTGCTGGTATTATCGGCCGTGGTGCTGATGCAGTATGGAATCCCTCAAGAGGCTTACTATGTGTATACTGACTGTAGGAACCGGGACATAGATTTCTTCAAACTCTCCACGGAGACGAGAAATTGTTTCTCAGATTTGAGCAAATATCTCGGCTCCTTGCGGGAGCATTTTGAAATAATTAAGACTAGGTTTGATGAGTGTCGTTACATTGAGCACTCACCTTCTTCCCCAGCTAGCAAAGTTACAACTCGTAGCGTAGCGTGTGGTACGTCACCTCCGAGTTCTACTAAGTCTGATTCGATTCGTTTAATTTAAGGGGTGTTAACATATTCAATTTGGCTCCTTCTCAGCCTAGATCCACCTCGTCTTTTAAAATGCTAGTTCTGCTGAAAACATATGTTGTTAAATAAATCATTGTGGCCAGTTGCATTTTTAATTAAGAAATGATCGACCCCGTAATACTAATGCAGTAGCCCTTTCCTCTTCAAAAAACTAAAAGCATATTCAGGCTCATTATCATTTATTAAAATGTTAGGGGCCTAAATTTAAAAATTCGTTCTAATCTCCTAAATTCAGTAAGCACGGAGTTTTCCTGCTTGGACTTCACTGCAACTTGGTTAAACTCGGATCTGCATTCGTCGGAACTTTTCAATAATTTGTTTCAAGTTTTCAGAAACGATCGATTATATCGCAATGGTGGTGGTGTTTTAATTGCCATTTCTTCGGCAGTCCCCTCCTATTCATTTGAATTTCCAACTACTCCCGACGCTGAATTTATCGCCATTAGAGTGAAATTTCCTAATAAACACTTATATGTGACCTGCTCCTATATTCCTCCAAATTCGGATATCTCCATATATAAGAAACACGCCGCCCTCATTTACGAAATGGCCAAGCAATCTAAACCTACCGATATAGTCATGAAAAACAAACACTAAAAGCCATTTATTTTAAAGTTGAAATATATTCATCAAATTGTTTTATTAAAGTGATAAATGGTAGTTGCCAAATTATGGATCAATTTGTACACAAAAATATATCAGATATATACACATTACATATAACTAATTAATTTTCTTAATACCCATCAAGAAACAAGCTTGTTTACTTTTATGTCAATTGTCTTATTGTTATAATTTATAACTATTTATTCATGTTGATGGATCTGAAACCACATGTGTGGTATGTAAACATTTCTTGTAAAGCAATATGGTAGGGCAGTTTCCGATCGTTTTTTACCGCTTGGAAGTTCTTAAACCGAAGGCGAAAATGACGCCTTACTGTGTCAGCTCTCTAATCGATTTGGCAAGTGTACCGTACATAGTTAAACATATTATTTGCACGCAACAGTAAAATATTTAATTATGTTATGTAGAAGAACAAGTACGATAATACCTAATCAATAAAAAATTTTAGAATCATATTTACCGTTAAATTACAAAGTAACAAAATTTGAGCTCTACATAAGAAAAGTAAATTTTTAAACATAGGCTTTACCTTTTTTGGTGTTTATGTAAAAAAATGGAATCATAGGATGAACTCTTTAAACAACATATCATCACAACCCAATGTCTGCTGATGCAATGCAATGTAAGCGCTATTTGCTGAGCACATTAAATGCAAAAAAAAAAGGTGAAAACAAACTAATAATGACAATTGTAATGATATTAAAACTAACAACGGTATAAAAAAGCTAGAAAATATATTAAATAATAGTTTAAAAAATTTCTTTCTCTAAATATAACAATAAAATTTATAAAATATGAAGAAATAAATAAAAATTTATTTAGCTATTAACAATAATGCATCAAAAAAAGTCATAATAGACCCCAAAAATAATTGTCGCAGACGGAAAGTGGAAACATTTACTAATATCGGCAAATAAACATAAGAATCTAATCTAAGAATTTAAATTAATCATCAACTTGCAAGTTTTATTGTTGGCCAGCTACTCGTTGCATTTGTAAGTGATCCAGTTTTGATATTTATTATTGCGTAGAGATTGGGACTTTATGACGCATCAAATCATCAACCAAAGTAATGAAAAATTTTATGAAGAGACTCTAATGCCAGCGACGCGTCTATTACCACCCGAATTGAGTCATAAAGTGGCCAACTATGGGCGTGGCTCATTTGATTTATTATAAATGCAATGAAATGCCGACGGCAATTTTCATTTTTCATTTTGCAATGAATATGTCTAAAACAGATTTTTTCACTTATAAAGCTGCCTTAACAGATTTTGTCACTTACAAAGCTGCCTTAACATTCATTGCCAAATGTTGCTTGTATAGAATTTCAACAAATGCATTGATTTGCAAGTAGCAGAGAGTTTTGCGACGGCTTTGCAATTAACACAGAATTTAACGACGGCTCGCAATTAGCAGAGAATTTAACGACGGCTCTGCAATTAGCAGAGAATTTAGCTACGGCTTTGCCTTTTTAACAGAGAATTTAGCTACTGCCTTGCCTTTTTAACAGAGAATTTAGCTACTGCTTTTCCACGCAAGTAGCCAAGCAGTTTAATTTGATAATAAAAATTATGGCTGTCTACTTTTAGGCTAACTTATAAAATTAAATAAGTTTATTTCGCGTATTTTCCAAAACATCTAATATTTTTACATAAAATGTTTAACTCATTCTATATGTAGGCCTAGGCTGCGTGGGCGATTCATCGCCACGCCTTGCTAAATATAATCGATTTATTCAATTTATAAACAACCATTTGGTTGCGCCCCGTTTCACACTTAATTTATAAACATAACCATTTAGTTGCGACTCGTTTCAAGCTTAATTTATAAATTTGTTGAATCTTGTTGAATCTTTGTTTTGCCGACGGCTTTGCATTTTAACAGAATTGAATGTGTTTTGTCTGTTACGATGAACAAAATTCTTTTTGACGCTATCTTAGAATTTATTCTCTGGCTAAATGTATAATAATAATAATTTTACAAGTTAGCCTAAAAGTAGACCGCCATAATTTTATTTTATTATCAAATTAAACAAAACTGTAGCTAAATTTTCTGCTAATTTACAAAAAGAACGTAATACTCTGTGCTATTTACAGAGCGAACGTAATACTCTATGCTAATTTACAGAAAGAACGTAATACTCTATGCTATTTACAGAAAGAACGTAATACTTTATATTAATTGCAAAGCCGTCGGCAAATTCCCCCATTTTCATTAACAACTTAGGTAAATCGATACAAAAAAAAATGCAATTGTTAATAATTAGTATTTAATTGTTAAAAGCTAATAATTAGTATTAAATACTGGCAGTTTAGTGTATTTATTGTATTGCAATTATTGTATTTATTGTATTATTGGGCATTTAACAAAGTAAATGGCGTTACCATTTAGGTTGTTAGGTTGGGCTTTTAAACATTTAACAGAGCTGCCATTTTTTGACTATTTTTTACAAGAAACTCTGCTTTGCTTTTTAGCAGGGAATTTAGCGAGGACTTTGTTTGATAATAAAAATTATGCCGGTCTAATTTTAGGCTAACTTGTAAAATTATTATTATTATTAATTTAACCAGATAATAAATTCTTTTCTCTTAAAGCGCTAGCATCAAAAAGGACTCTATCGCACTTGGATTTGAACCCACGACATTTTGACATTGAGTTAAAATTTCGCGTCAAAAAAGTGCAGGTTCCAGTTTCGTATGTGTTCAATTATTACAAACATTCATTATATATTGTTTTTGAAAACTTTGAGTTTAAAATAAAACGCTCATACTATACATTTCTTTATAACGAGGTACGTAATATAATAAGAAAGCAAATGATAAATTAAATTCATATATGTATATATATATATATATTAACTCTAAGCATAGAAACGATTTTCCTTTATATACGGAGGCTATTGAAAAAAAAAATTTTATTTTTTCAGTTTTAAAGAACGCTTGGTAATTATACATCAACTAAATCGTTATTAGAATAATTTTGTCGAGACCAACACCAACGACATGTTAATAACGAAACAAGCAAAGAAACCAACATTTTTTACCCTGCATAGAAATCAGTAACGCTTTACCTTCAATAAGTATATAACGATCTTGTCGATTTGTAAAATAATCATTCGACAGATTGGCTCCTGATATAAGTACAGCATCGTCGAATAAATATATTTTCATATGTTGCAAACCTAATAGTTCATTCCAACGTGGCGGTATCCAACGTTTAGAAATTGTCATCCTTATAAACGTACATAGTATAATGTTATTTTGCACCCAATCTATTCTTAATGAATAAAATAATATGAGAAAAGAGATCTTTGGAGTAGTTGCGATCCTGCCAATCATCGCGAAATTATAGAAGAATATGAGAAGGTGGA